ACGGAAGCAGAATGGATTGCGTGGTTCAACGCGGCGCTCGAAGAAGAACCCCAAGACTTGGACATTCTGAAGAAGCGCCTGGCGGCCGCCATCCGATTCGATACTGGACGCTGAGTCTCGTGTCGGTCGGATATTGAACGACCTCATGCGGTTGCTGGAACAAGACCACCAGGAATGGGTGCTAACTCAGGAGCCCAAAGTTGTGGTCGAAGTCATGGCGAAGGCTGTCAAGCCAGGAGCCCTCAAGACTGCTGTGCAAAAGCAGTTACAACTCCAGCGCAACAAGGGGTTGAAAATCGAAGTTTTTCGTTTTGTGAACTGGCTGCGCCACTTTGCTGTGGGTTTCCAACTCTACGTAGGTGTCGAGGAACTGCCAGCTCCGGCGGCCCCTCTGAAAGGCCATTATCCGACTCGAAGAATGGCGCCCGCAGCGGTGGTGGCCGCGGTGGCAACGGGGGCGGCGGTAAAACGGATGACAAGGGTATCTTCCCGGCGAAAATGGACGATGCAAGTCCAAGGAAGAAAAGCCAGCAAGAAGGAAGATTGGATGCCTGAAATGTGGAGACACTAGCCATGGCGTCGCGGAGTGTCAAGGTGGCGCCTGGCGAGGCGGATCGTTTACTCGAAGCTCAACTCAAGAAATGGCGTGATGGGATCTCTGTCCTGGGCGGCAAGTCCACTCGTCTGCCGACCAATCGTGGCGCTGCGGTAGAAGTGCTCGTTCGGGTTGAAAGCGTCCTGTTGGACACGGTGCCGACGTAAACGATGTTACGCGCGGCGTCGTTGACGTGTTGGCTGTGAACGGCGCAGGCGTGACGGTCACGGAGCATGAAACGGCTCGGCTGGTCAACCCGTATGGCGTCAATGTAGAGCTGCTGCGGATGAAGCGAAGCGTCAAATTTGGTGCGGTCGTGCTGGGGACGACGTGCGGACCGTTGACGTTACGTGGTCTCCATTGCTGGATTGATGACACGTCGCCGGAGATCGACCTGATCATTAGTCGCCCTGTTATGGATTTGCTCGGATTCTCCGTGGACACTTTGCTCGTCGGAGCACGACAGAAGAACACTAAGTGGGATGTTTCAGTCGACGACGAGCCACCTGCCCATGGCATGTCTAAACTTCAGCGTATGACGACGTCAAGACACGGCGCCGACGAGCCGGTGCTCGCTGACGGCGACGGCATGGAGTGCGCCACGCCAGAAGTCGCGACCGTTACCGACGAAGAACAGCGCAAAAAGATGCGGGACGAAGTGTTTGCGGTGCTGATGTCAAAGGTCGCCGAAGCGGAGTCATGTGGACTGACCGGCGATGATGTGGAACGGCTCAAGGCTCTGCTTTCAAAACATGTCGATGTCTTCCGCATCGACCTTGGAAACGACCCACCTGTCAAAGTGGAGCCGCTCAAGGTGCGCATCAAGCCGAAATCGACACCGGTCAAGTGCGGTATGCGGCGTTATCCCCCGGCGCATCTGGAATACATGCGCGAGCATGTGGAGGCACTGCTATCGAACGACATGGTTTACGCCAACAATCGGGCGCCAAGAATCGTGCCATAAAAGGAGCCGGGGGCGCTGCGGATGACGATCGACAGTCGTCCGATTAACGCGTGCACTGAGCCGATGCTGTGGACGATGCCCAATCTCAACAGTGCCATGGTGTGTCTCGTGGGCACTACTGCGTATTTTACCCTCGACTGGACGAAGGGATACTGTCAGTGCCGCTGCATCCCGAGTCGCAGGAGTATTTCTCCTTTATGACCCCTTTGGCATGTACACGCCGACACGTGTCTTGATGGGCCAGACCGACGCGGTGGCCTACTGCCAGTCAGTCGTGCACCTTATGTTTGGGGACGAATTGTTCCGTGGCCTGCTCGCGTGGCTTGACGACCTCCTCGG